AAGTTCTTAGCGTGCGTATCACAGAGAATGTGGACCTTTCCAACCTGTGTAACCTCCTTTAATAAAGATACAGTTACTGCAGTTGACCTCTTGTGAAAAGTGGATCCATTTGTGTTTTTATTCTGTGGCCTCAATAGAAGATATAACAGAATGGGCACTGTTCACTGGACGTGGGAATTCTCCCTTGCTCTGACTCATGTAGAGCAGCGGGGAGGGGGAGGAAAATGGGCTCCACAAACCCTGTATCCAGTTTTGTCATTTAAAAAACCTTTTTGATCTGAACTTTGTACATTTAATATTCCAGAGAGTATTTAGAAGTTTGATAATAGTCTGTAGTAGTGCTAGAGAAAGATAAGGCTCGCTATTGTACTAAAACAATGTTGTGGTGCCAAGACAGTATATTTATGCTTTTTTGTTGCAAGACTAACAGCGCCCATCAAACTTTGTATAATTGGAAAAAATACCCAATCATTCTCTAGGTTGCCATAAAAAAAATGCTTTAAGCTTAATACGCAACTACATTGCAAACCAGTCCATTAGCACGATGTATTCCTTCACAGCAGCCGGGAGTACTACAGGGTGGTGAAATTACCGATGTGGTGGAGGCCAAGATTTTTTTGTGTAGCATAGAAAAGATGCTGATTTTTTTCCCATTGTGATCAACCATTATTTTGCCAATGTTTTCTAATGTGTCTTGCAGAGTTTCGTGATAGTTTTTCAAAGCTGGATGAAAATTTATGTTCCACCATTGTGCTCAGTCAATTTTTAGCATGCATAAAAGAAGCATCATTGCCAAGTATTCCTTCAAGCCTGTGAAGTCAGAGTTGCAAGGCGTAGGACAAAGCCTCAATAAGCTTTGGGAGCTAATGGGGAATTGCAAGCTTCTTGTTTATTGCACCTGGCACTTTCTCAAAATCTGCTTCATAGGGGCCAAACCACTCATTTCCTCAAGCAGATAAGGAGGATGCGTTCTCTCCCTGAGTCAAAGCCCTGTGACTCAAAGCCCGAGGGATTGCGCTAGCACATTGCAAACTTTTATCTCCGAGGACCTGAACTTCAGGACTAGTTAAATCGGTTAAGCTAAAAAGAAGTATAGACTTTAAAACCACCTGCTATCACAACAGCTAAGACATGAGTTGTGCCTGAATTGTCTGAAATGGGATTTTTAAGTACACTAAACAGGTATTAAATTGAAAATAAATGCTTTTTTCCCCCTTTTCAAGAGCATTCTGGTGGTTTTGAGACCCATGGCATGAACTTCGAGGAACCTACCTCTGTCGGAGCTCCGTGAGAGAGGAAATATAAGGAAATGTGCCCCCCCCAAGTTGTTTCAAGGCAATGAGTCAGGACCCTTTTATGCAAGTTTCTCAATATGTAATTTTTTTATTTCTACTGCTGATGTGATCATTTTGTGGATCTTGTTTGATACACATAGTCACAAGTGTTGGTCTGTCAGATAAGGCCCAGGAGCTAACCTTCACTTTCTTGTCCATCATTTTCTAATTCTTCATTCCTAGGAATTAATCCAGCAGATGTAAATGTGGAAATAATTCTGTATAGTCTCCTGCTTTAAGGCAGTCTTTCCCAGATTTGGACAATGCAGAGCAACTGTGTAATATTCCATCAAGCAGATGGAAGCAATTCTCTAGAGTAGAATCCATTGATTGTTCGTTGAAATTTAAACTCTCTATTTTTCAGGAAATTCCAGTGTTTTGAATTCATGTTTCCACCATGCATTGAAATAAGATTTTTAATACAGTCAGGCTGTGCAATTGTTTTCATATTTATTGTATTTTATGTTGTAATGTAATACAAAAGTCAAAACACTTTAACTTTCATGTATTAGACTGTAACTAAAAACAAAGCAATGGAGTTGAAATGAAGGGTTCTAACTTTACCAAAACTAAATATGTGGATTTAGTGTAAATGAAATGTTTTAATTGTATTGCCTTAAAAAAAAAGTTTTAAGAAAATGCTGGTTCCACAGAAACATTGAAATTCTAATTATTGTTTCTCTGTTGCCTGGGAAAATGCTTACTTTCTTGACAATTTTGAATTTAGCTTTCTCTGTGCGACATCACTTGAAACACAGGAATGCCATAACACTGATTTTAGTAGGAGCAACTCAGATGGCTTTTAAGACAAAACATAACTGACTTGAAATTTCTTGATGGGAAATTGTTGTGGTTTAACCCCAGCCAGCAACTAAGCCCCACCCAGCCGCTCGCTCACTCCCCCCCGGTGGGATGGGGGGAGAGAATTGGAAGGGTAAAAGTGAGAAAACTCGTGGGTTGGGATAAAGACAGTTTAATAGGGAAAGCAAAAGCCGCGTGCACAAGCAAAGCAAACCAAGGCATTCCTTCACTCCTTCCCAT